ACTCACACTAGGCATGTGTGCGTGCCTCCCCAAAATTCCGAGAGGAATGGAGGAGAAGGAACTGTGGTGTGGCCATGCTCCCTGGGGGGTGATTTCTGGCTTTCCTTCTCTGTCTCCTCAGTGAGCACACCTGCCCTAAAGCAAAAATCTATTTAAAAAAAATACTCATTAACACTGAAAAGGAAGGGACCAGTAGATGCTGTAATGGTTACATCGCTGGACTCCCAGACCCAGCAACTTGAAGCTCATGCCATGCCCAAGATCCCAAGAGGAGAATGGAGAAGAGATTGCGGCATGGCCATGCCCCCTGCAGGGTGCTTTTTCACTGTCTCTCTCTTTCTCTCTCTGTCTCTCTGGTGAGTGTACATGCCCTATAGCAAAAATCTCTATCTTAAAAAAAAAAAAAATCACTGCCACAGAAGTGTCTCTGTCTCTGTCTCTCTCAACCTCTCCAGCTGTCTGGAGAGAAAGCTCATTAACAAACAGAGCAACTCCTAGGTCTGCAGAGTTCAGGCAACATGCATCCCTGAGTTGTTCCTCCACATACTTAACTCACTGCAGTGATTCAGCCTCTGAGTCTGCCCTGCAGTGCCACCTACAGGGCACTGGAACCACAGGACTTGCTCCATCTAAACCCCTAGTCTTCCCTGGTTTGGCGAAACTCCCTGTGTTCCCCACCAGAACATAGTGACTGTTCAGCTTCTGAAAATGACAAGTTAATCTTAATACACGTCTGATAATGCTGCTGCTTTGTTGATTTATTTACCGCTATTAATTCTTGTATCCTGCAGGGACTTTTTCCACCTCAAATACTGAGAAAATCGAATACAGATATTTACTAATTTACTTTTATCGCTAAGATTTAAGATTTACTCTTTAAATCTTTAGCCAAAGGACACCAGAAGAGATAGGCTCTTGGTTGTTATCAGATTCCTGGTAATGTGCTAGTTTTGATCAAAGTTTTGCTTTGCTACAGATAAATGACAGAATAAAATTGTATGGATTTGAGCTTTTTTTGTTAAATAAGATTTTAGCTGCTCTTGTCACACACATACACACACATAAAGGAACCATGTGAGGTGATAGATAAGCTCACTTGATTCACTGAAGTAACCATTTGACCACTTCTATGTATTCCATAATATCACTTTGTAAACCTCAAATATATACAATAAAATTTGTTTTAAAATAAATAAAATAGGGATCAGACAGCATCACAACAGTAAAATGTGACACTTTTTTTTTTTAGAGATTTTTGCTATAAGGTGCTTGTGCTCACTAGAGAGACAGAAAGCAAGAAATCACCCCCCCCCCCAGGAGGGATAGCCATGCTGCAGTCCCTTCTCCTCCATTCTCCTCTTGGGATTTTGGGCATGCATGCACACGTGCCTGGCGTGAGTTTAAGCCACTGGGCCCAGGACTTGAACCACGGTCGACTACGTGGAAGTCCAGCAACATAACTATTACTCCATCTGCTAGTCCCAAAATGACACTCTTAAGAGGCTGACCACATGGGAAGACTCCCATTCCAGTACTGAGACCCCGGGAGTGCACTGGGCACCTGTATGCCCAAGGCCCAGGGCTGGCTGAGCGGGGGTGGCTGCGGGGTCAAGACCCTTCAGAGTGCTGACTCTGACTCTCTTTCTTTCTGTCTCTTTTGCTCACAAAAAACATAAACTTTAAAAATTTTGTTTTAAATTAAAATATGCAGATGAAATGCCTGGAAGGAATGCACAAAAGTGAAATGAAATGTGTGATAGTATTAAGGCATGAATATTCACAGCATCTTTCCTCTCACCTGCTGGGGAATATTTTGCTACTGTCCGCTTAGTCTTTTTCCCTTCCCTCAATTTTGAGCTTTATTAGTAGATTAGAGTGAAGAGTGTACAAGTGTGTGTGTGTGAAAGAGGAGAGGAGCATCCTGGAGAGAATCAGAGGGAAATGCCAGAAAAAAGGAAAAACTGGTGAAATTAACATAAAAAAGAAAACAGCAATCGAAGGGGAAAAAATGACTGAATCCCAAGAAAGTGAGTTAAGCATGAGAGCACTGAAGTTTCTGGGACAGCATCAGCAGAGACCTGGAGGAACAGCTACCAGATGGGGAAACGTTTCCATGACAGGATAAAGCTATGTTGTAAGCTTTGCTCTCAATGTAGAATACTTGCCCACTGCGTACCTCCAGGGACTTTCTGGAGTGAACGTTTAAAATGCTTTTTATATTTTTTTCAGCCTGTTTTTAAAAATTTTTTACTTCAGGCTAAGACTGGCCATAGAGACTTGACTTAATTCAGATGACCAAAATACTCAGGAACACCAGAAGACATTGTCTACAGAAGTAACTTAGTGACCTCTCATTTTAATATCAGTAGGCTGGGAACTGGCCAGTGGCGTGGCACTGAAATGTCCTCTCCGTGAGGCTGATACTCATGGCAAGATTCCAGATTTGTGTCCAGAGACACTCCCAAGTAAGCTGGGCGTGTATGTGCCCATAGTCTGGGGCTGGCTGAGGGGGGCTCACAGCGTCAAGACTCTTTTGGGGCTCTCTCTCTCTCTCTCTCTCCCTCTCTCAGTCATGGAAGAAAAATGTTTAAAAGATTACTAGGATGGGGGTCAGCAGGTGGTGTGGTGGTTAAAGTGCTGGATTCCCACATGGCTGATCACAGTTCAAGTCCTAGACTTGGCTTGAAAACCATGCTGGCCACGTGTGTGTGCATGCCCAAAATCCCAAGGGGAGAATGAAGGAGAAGGATTGCGACATGACCATGGGAGGGGCGGGGGGCGATGTCTCACTTTTGCTCCCTCTGTCTCTCTGGGGCGAGCACACATGTCCTATGGCAAAAATAGTTTTTAAAAAATTATTAGAATGAGTCAATTAAAAATATGGGTAAATTGTGAGGGAAAGTATGTATTTGAGGTTTGGTATTTTTAAAACTTAAGAAAAACTTGGGAACACCAGATGGCATAATGGTTATTTCGCTAGACTCCCACGTAGTTGACCATGGTTTGAGTCTCAGACCTAGTGGCTTAAAACTCACACCAGGTGTGTGTGTGTGCATGCCCAAGAGAAGAATGGAGGAGAAGAGACTGCTGCGTGGCCAAGTTGCGGGTGATTTCTCAATTTCTGTCTCTCTGTCTCTCTGTCGAACACAAACGGCTCTGTAACAAAAAAAATCTCTCTCAAAACAAAACAAAACAAAACAAAACAAAACAGGGAACCAGCAGTTAGCGTAATGGCTATGTCGCTGGACTCCCACGTAGTCGACCGCGGTTCGCATCCGGGACCCGGTGGCTTAAAACTCACGCCGGGCGCGTGTGCATGCGTGCCCAAGATCCTGAGAGGAGAATGGAGGAGAAGGGATTGCGGCGTGACCATCCCCCTTGGGGGGTGATTTCTCGCTTTCTGTCTCTATGTCTCTCTCTGTCTGTCTGGCGAGCGCACGCGCCCTATAGTGAAAACCTCTCAAAAAAAAAAAAACATGGGAGCCAGCAGGTGGCGCAGTGGTTAAGGTGCTGGACTTTTAAACAGCTGACCATGGTTAGAGTTCCCGATCTGGCAATGCTGTCTCACTTTCCCTGTCTCTCCCTGGTCAAATTAATAATAATAACAACAACAACAACAATAACAAAGTAAAATAATTCTTTTTTTAAGAAAATCTTAGGAAAAAATCAACTATAATAATTGAAAATTGCCTTCATCTTCCTGAAATCAGAAATATTTTGCCAGTCTTACAGCGTGTTTCTTATATATCTGTTATTGCGCTTAATTTATTCTGCCTGGCTTATTTTTCTAAGTACCATCTATAAAAGCAATGTAAATAGGGCCTGGGTTTATTCTTAATTCTGTCTTGTAAGCTCACTGAAGACAAAGACCTTACCTTATCTGTAAAACACCATCAGGGCAATTAACCACACAGACCTGAGTCAGACACAGCTGAATTTGAATTTGAATTTGGCTCTGCCACTCCTCCGTGAAAATACCAAGTGGTGTTTCGTGATTATTTCTGTTGATGCCTTGTTATTCTCGTCTTGAAAATTGAGAATAATGCCCATTTCTCTCAGGGCAATTGTGAACATTAAATGAGATGCATGAGCGTGTTTAGTATAATAGAATGCCTGGCACGCACACGTTTCGGAAACTACTAATATTATAACTATTACCTACTTGTACGTCTACTTTGTTATTTAAGGCCACCTCGTATCAGCACAGAAAGAAGCTCTCAGATCTTTGTTGGACAAATCATAGTTTGCATGAAAGATGAAAACCGTGAAAGCAACCAGCTACTAGGCTCTGTGCCTTTGTTTTCCTATGTGTTAAGAGTTTTACGGGCTGCTGTGGCGGTTTGAGGACCGCTCTTAGCCCAAATTGGCCTCGTCAGAGGTGGAGTAGAAGGAAAGTGTATCTGTGAGGACTAGGTGTCTCTGGGCATTTGGGGCCTCTCAGAGGAATACCGATTCAATCTCCAGAGTTCCCTTGCCCTCTCCACTCACCAACCCCTTCACAGCACCTCTGGAGATGACCAACCTGCACCTTCAAGGGGTTCCAGGGAGTTACCAACACTCTTAACCGCCATCTTCTGCATAAAACATTTCCCATTTCCCATTTCCCCAGGCCAAAAGCCGTCTTGCAGCAGCACCGACTGCCGAACTCTGGCTACCAGCTTTCCGGTACTGCCCGCTTTGAATTGCACGCTAAGATCAAAGTCTGAGTCTGGTACCTGTTTGACCAGTACAATGAGCTGTTCGCAGGTTCCCAAGTAAAGACGGTGACACTGAACTCTAGGGAAGCAGGTCTGGGAGCTGAGCCTGGAGCTGAGCCCTAAGTTCAGATCTTGCCCTCAACTTGAAGGTCTACCCTAGTCCCCAGAGCTTTTATTTACTACACTTCTATTTCCTGAGAGAGAGCACAGCCTCTGGCAATTCAAGATCTGCAGTTCATTGTTTAAGACTTGCTAAAGGAAGTTCTCAGCCAGAGATTTTTAAAAAAGGGGGGTGGGTGGGGTAAGAACCAGAGAAAAGCTTTATTTAGGTAATAAGAATTACAAAATAACATCAGACTTTTTCCTCTCCATAATTAAAGTTGATTTTTCACATCACCCAGTTACATGAGGTCATGGTGGAAATTCAATACCGGAAATTCAATCCTGCTAGCAACAATCTGAACAAATTCTGACTCTCTTAGCAGACATTAAGCTAAACTTTGTTCTGATGGTCAGTTAAAATTAATAATTCCATAACTTATTTGGACCCTAATATGACCATTCTGAACCATCCAACATGTTAACATTTTGCAGAACATTGCTTTTCATTCTCGAATGATCGTTACCACATAGTTAGCTGAAGTTCCTGGCCAACAAAAAATACTTTCTAGATATTATTCTGAGCCATTTAACTGAATTTAGGTGAAACATAATCTCTGGGGAAGTTTGCCAACTCAATAGCTTGCTTTTCTCACTCAGCATGGAAAAGGAAAATAAAACATTTTTTTTTTACCCTTTTAATTTCATCACTGTCTCTCTTGAGGACTGACCCTTTTCACAGTTTCAGTTGCTTGAAAAACGCTAACGTGTCGCCTCTTGATTTCATGTGGCTCCTCACGAATCTGGTTAACTGCCTGAACCCCTCGGCCAGCCCTTCGCCTGTGACCGCGCAGCAGGGCTGCACGTACCAGTTCCGGTCGCTGCAAAGCTTCTTAACTTTGAACATTCTGGTGATGTCCTCAGCGGTCAGGGCCCCAGGCACGTCTTGTTTGTTGGCTAATAGAACGACAGGCACATTTTTAATGTGCTCATTCTTCAAAATGCGCTCAAACTCTCTCTGAGAGTCCTCCAGTCGCTGTCGGTCCGAGCTGTCCACGACGTACACCAGCCCATCGGTGTTCTCGCAGTAACAGCCCCAAACGGTTCTCATTTTTTCCTGTCCTCCAACATCCCAGACTGTGAGCGGAAGATCCCTTTCCAGCTCGATCATCTCCACGTTGAAGCCGATGGTCGGGATGGTTATAATGGGCCCAGCAAGCTTTAATTTATATAGAAGAGTAGACTTCCCAGCAGAGTCGAGTCCCAGGAGAAGAATCCGAGCTTGGTTGGCTTTGGGGTTTTTAGAACTCCGTAGACCCATTTTAGGCTGCTGCTTCTTTCTCTTTTTATACTTAAAAACCGTCTCTTTTGGCTAGAGACGTGTCCTTTCTGGGTCTTGCATGAAAACGTTAGGAGAAAAGAGAGCGAATGCTTCATGTTATATTCTAGGAGCAGGAATCTGTGTACATTTATGCTGTAGCTTATCAACTTGATTCCGGGTAAACAGTATTTTATTTGCAGTCTCAGCCAATCCCCAGGAATCTGTGTTGTGAATAACCAGCCAATGTCTTCGTGGCTCAAAGGGGAAATTCTTTGTGAATGAGCAGGACCAGGAGGGGCCTGCCCGGGTGATGCCGCAGTTTTGTTCTCTGGGGTGCTAGAAATGTGGAGGAAATCAAAGGTTCAGATGTGCACAGCAACAAGGCTTAACAGCGGACTAGAAAGGACTTTTTAAACTTTTAATCGTAACTAAACGTTTGTTGTACTTTTCACAGAACTTCTTGAGTTATTTGCCTATCTTATCTCAACTGTAAATAAGTAACCAGGTTCCTTAAATTGTGATGAGAGAGTTTATCTCACACTCCCTTTGGAGTATCTTAAATACTCTCCCCTGGTCCTGATTACTCAGTAGGAAACTTTAAACCACCCAAGGTTATCTGGACCTTACTCTTATCGTCTCAGAGAATCACTTCTTTAATTTAGGCAGAGAATTTATACTAGTCACAAAACCAAATTTCCAGGGGGAACTTTGTAACACAAACACTTTTAAAGTAAGCAGATAGGGAGACCAGCAGAAGCCATAATGGCTACGTTGCTGGACTCCCATGTAGCCAACTGCGGTTTGAGTCCCAGACCCGATGGCTTAAACTCATACCGGGCATGTGCGCGTGCATGCCCAAGGTCCCAAGAGGAGAAGAAAGGTGGCTATCACGCCTGGGGGGTGATTTCTTGCTTTCTGTCTCTCTCTCTCTGCCTTTCTGGACAGGCAAAAAACCTCTCCAAAAATAAAATAAATTAAGCAGATGGTCTGGCTACTGAAGGCAAGTTGAATGCATGTATTGAATGCCTCTTCTTTCTACACCAAAATGTTAGTAAAGTAATAAGAAGAACTTAAAAATACATAAGAACAACCAGAGTCCACCAGAGGGATTTCAAGTTCTGGAAGATGAAAAATAGCTGGAAGATAAATGGTGACTGATGTCGTGGGATAAAGCCGAGGCTGCCAGTGCTGAGGCACAGGAGAAAGACTTCAGGTGCAGGGATGGCAAAGTTCTAAATGCGAAAAGGAAAGAATAGCTCAAGTATTCTGGAAGGGGTGAGAGAAAGGGCTAAAAACAGAGCAGGAAGTATCTAAAAGTCTTAATAAAGAACAGAAAACACACACACACACACACACACATCCTTTTGCTGCACGACCTTTCAGCCATGAGATGTTCCATCCCCAGGCAAAAACCTAGAGTGTTCTTCCTAGAGAAATGGAGTGATTTCAGGGGAAAAAAAAAAACTCACGTCATGACAGTTGGGAGTGTCCACAACCTTACGCCTACCTTGACATTTTATTAACCTACAAACACACTGGCCTTTGGCAAACTTTGCTCGGGTACACAGTTTTCACAGACATTTCTATACTTAATACATAGCATGCCTGCAATACAAACGAGAGAAACGGACTAGAATTAAAAAAGAAATGTCTTAAGGAAACATAAAACAGGTAATGCAAGGAAGAGAAGAGAAGCTGTATGGTTTTAGTTAATTTTGTAGAGATTTGAGATGGTATTACATCCTGAAACAAGAGACAGATGTGATTAGTAAAGCCACTCAGAAAACAAAAACAGAACTCCGGAAAATTAAAAACTCAAATTTCAAATATTTTAAAAGACCAATAATAGATCAGAAAGCAGAATTGAAGGAATCTTTCAGGAAGTTAAAGAAAAAAGTAAAAGATAAGGACAACAACCTAAAAATCTCAGTATCTGACTTACAGGACCTGTTCCAGAGAGAACAGAAAATATGCAAGAGAGGAAATGATTAAAAAAACAATGTGGGACCATTTTCTAAAACTAAAGAATGAAATCTCCATTGAAAGACTTCCTTCAATACTTGATAGTATGATTTTTAAAAGAACAATACTGACATACATAGTGTATATATTTTATTTTTATCAAAACTAAAGATTATTTTAAAAAATCAGACTTTTAGGTGCAGGAAGTACACTTAAGGAGGAATTACAGAAATCTTTTTTTTAATTTTTAAAAATTATTTATTTAATTTTATTTATCATTATCTTTTTTTTCTTTTCAATTTGACCAGAGAGAGACCAACTGAGAGAGAAAGGGAAAGCGAGACAGCAAGCTCCCAGGTCTGGGACTCAAACCACGTCGGTCATGTGGGAGTTCAGCGTCTTAACCACCACTTCCCCTGCCAGTCCCAAGATACTACGTTTTTAACCAACTCACTGTATCTCAGAAATCAGAAATACCTTTTTTCAGAGAGATTTTTGCTATAGGGCACGTGTGCTTGCTGGAGAGACAGAGAGAGCCAGAGTCAGAAAGGGAGAAATCATCCCTGGGGGGGGAGGGGATGGCCACGCCGCAATCCCTTCTCCTCCACTTGCTTCTTGGGATCTTGGGCATGCATGCCCAATGTGAGGTTTTTGGGACTTTTTTGTGTGTGTTTTGTTTTGTTTTGTTTTGTTTTGTCTTTAGCAGCATGAGTTTTAAGTTGCCATGTCCAGGACTCAAACTGCAGTCAGCTATGTGGAAGTTCAGAAACATAACCATTATGCATCTTCTGGTTCCAGAAATACCATTTTTATTCATTCATTCACTTATGCATGCATTCATTCCTCTAGGTTTAAAATTTTTCAGATACCATGTTGAAAAAGAACGTAATTAAAATAAATTAATAAGATGAGCTATAGTTCATAGTAATATAGAGAAATAATTACGTTCATGTGGTAAGATTCTACTTCCAAAGGTGAAGTCAGGGACTCTGCACTACCACTTGAGCAGGTTTAATGTTTATTTCATATTAAACTCAACAGTAGGGGCTAGCCATCGACATGGTGGTTACAGTGGCTGGATCCCACATTGTCAACCCCATGATTGAGTCCCAGACCTGGTGTCTTGAAAATCATGCTGGACGTGTGTGTTTTCATGCCCAAAATCCCAGGAGGAGAATGGAGAAGGGATTGCAGCGTGGCAATACCCCCTGCAGGGTGATTTCTCACTTTCCCGCTTTCTTTCTCTCTCTGAAGAGGATAACACCCCCAAAAAAAATTTAAAAAAAAAAAAAAAAGGAAAAAAAAAAAAAAAAAACAGCTCAGGGACCAGTAGATGGTGTAATAGTTACATCGCTGACTCCTATGTGGTCGACTGCAGTTCGAGTGCCGGACCCAACAGTTTAAAATTAATGCCAGGTACATGTGCATGCATGCCCAAAATCCCAAGAGGAGAATAGAAGAGAAGAGACTATGCCGTGGCCATCCCCCCTGGGGAGTGATTTCTAGCTTTCTGTCTCTCTGTCTCTCTTTGTCTCTGCAGCATGCACACACACCCTGTAGCAAAAATCTCTCTAAAACAAACAAGAACAGCTCAACAGTATGTTCTGTATGAGGTTTACCATTGGTACAGAGAAGATCTGTTAGTTTATCTTGTTGATAAAGAGAATGGTCATACAGGGACCAGCAGCTAGCGACTATGTCGCTGAACTCCCATGTAGTTGACCGTGGTTCAAGTCCCAGACCTGGTGGCTTAAACTCATGCCAGGTGCATGTGCGTGTGTGCCCAAGATCCCAAGAGGAGAATGGAGGAGAAGGGATTGCGGTGTGGCCATCCCACCTGGGGGGGTGATTTCTCGCTTTCTGTCTCTCTGTCTCTCTCTGTCTGTCTGGCGAGCGCTCGTGCCCTATAGCAAAAACCTCTCAGAAAAAAAAAAAAGAGAGAGAGAGAGAGAGAATGGTCATACATGTCTTCACTGCTTCCATTTGATTAATTGAACCCTGCCTTCAGGATAGCCAAGCAAATGAGGGTTAGATTGTGGATGACTATATGCAAATGAAATTATGAGTCCTCTGTGAACAGGAGTGAAATAACTTCTTTCTTATTGTTAAATTTCAGGAGAGTCTGCAAATGTTTCAACATCCATTCCCACTGTCCCAAAACATTTATGAATTCATTTGTCCCAGCCAGCCAACCCTGAGGGAAGTCAAGGTGTATGTCTGCTGTAAATCATTCTAAGATTATGCAAATAAAGGCAGGATTGTGGGAGAGTTACTGGCAGTCTTTGTAGTATCACAGAAATTTTGTTTTAAAATACAGAAATAAAAGAAACATTTTCTTTAATCTCTTACCAGAGATGGGAGGCAAAAAGTCCTAAATTAGAAGCTTTACCATGTTCTGACCAAGCGAAATTACAGAAACCTATCTCTCTTAGAAGTAAGTGACATTTTAATCTCATTATCTTTATTTTTCACAAATAAAAAAAGATTCAAGATGTGGTTGTGTGAATTGCTTAGCTTATGCAGTCTTGAAATATTCCCTACTTTTTTTACAATAACTTTTTAAAAAAAGATTTTTGCTATAGGATATGTGCACTCACCAGAGAGACAAAGAGACAGAGAGACAGAGAGTGAGAAATCCTCCCTGGAGGGGATGTCACACCGCAATCCATTCTCCTCCATTCTCTTCTCAGGATTTTGAGCACACACGCACACACATCTGGTATGAATTTCAAGCCACTAGGTCTGGGACTCAAATTGCAGTTGGCCATGCGGGAGTCCAGCAACATAACCACCACACCATCTGCTGGTCCGAATAAATTCTTTATGGTTTTTTTTAAAAGTAAATTTTTGGAAAATTGAAGTACATGACATAAATAGAAAAATGCAAACCTCACAAATATACATCTCAACGAGTTATTGTAAATTGAAAATGCTCATGTAACTACCACTAAGGGCAGGTTTGTGGGGTTTTTTAAATTTAATTAATTAATTAATTTTAAATTATTCCCTTACTCTTTTCTTTCTTATCTTTTTAAACAATAATCATTTCCTATGATAAAAATGAAAGAAAAATTATGGCCATAAAAAAGATGAATATGATTAATATGACTCAGTTCTTACTTCCAAAAGAGACCATGTGATCCTCTTTTGGAAGCTAACCTTAGTCTCAGCCCTGATCTGAGACAAGCACTTAAGCAGCTCCAATTTTTCTTTCTTTTTTTTTTTTTCCAGCCTAACCAATAATCCCATCATAACACAATATCCTAATTTTAACAACTAGGCTCTGTTACTAAATCTAGCCCTTTTACTTAGTCCCAGTCCCTACTGTTAAACTCACTCCTGGTAATTAGATTTCTTGCACTCCAGTCCCTTACTTAAATAGGTACCCTGACTCACACTGGCTATACCCTTTCCAAAACTAGCATCCTTAACCTTTAGGATAAATTCCAGGTAACCACTGAAAAATTCTTGGTTGTTGGGAACCAGCAGATGCCGTAATGGTTACGTTGCTGGACTCCCACGTAGTCGACTATGGTTCAAGTCCTAGACGCAGTGGCTTCAAATTCACGCCAGGCACACATGTATGCATGCCCAAGATACTGAGAGGAGAATGGAGGAGAAGGGATTGCGGTGT